CACTTAATCAACTTTCCAAGAATTGATGCACTTTCCTTTACTTCATATCTCCTTTAATAATAGGGGAAAAAAAATTCTACTTCCGTCAAATGACCCGGCCTCTCCTAGCTCTTCCACTGTTTGGGCTACCTTTCTTGTCTATGCTATGCTCCTCAGCACAAGCCCACCACGCTTTGTGCCTGTGGCGTTTTTGCCAAATGGTCTTGGTCTCTAATTCAATCCTATTTTATTATAATCCTACAAAGAATCAACGATAAAAAGAGGTAACTGTAAATGACCAAGCCCACCGCGAGTAGATATTGTCCTTTTTTGGCTTTCCCTTTCGGCTTTCTCTTACTTCATATCTCCTTTGATAATAGGGAAAAAAATTTCTATTTCCGTCAAATGATCGGGCTCTTCCACTGTTAAGGCTACCTTTCCCGTCTATACTTCATATCTCCTTTGATAATAGGGAGAAAATTTTATATTTTCGTCAAATAATCGAGCTCTTCCACGGTTTGGGCTACCTTTCCCGTCTATACTTCATATCTCCTTTGATAATAGGGGAAAAAATTGCAAGCCTACCACGCTTTGTGCCTGTGGTATAATCCTACAAAGAATCAATGATAAAAAGAGGTAAGTGTAATGGTCCAAACCCATCGCTATCGCTAGCCAATATTGTCTTCTTTAGCCTTTCTCTTTCAAGTTTCCCCTCGAGACTTCATCTGCAAGGGAAAGGTTTCCACACTCTTATAAAGGGTGTTCCATTCTCCTCCCCAACCAATGCGGAATATCACAATAAGTCTCGCTAAAGCTTTTTTTGAAGACTTTCGCTAATTTAAACCTTTATGTGTACCAAAGACCGATGGTGCAGTTTTTCTTGTCCTACATATCGTTTTCCGATAAATGATTATCATTTTTATCATTGTTGTCATTTTGTAAGCATGATATCTTATCATGTACTAATTAATATCATTTGTAATGTGACACCAATTACACCTTGGCTTTACAGCTAGTTTGAATTTAAAGCTAAAACAGTTGTTTACGTCTATATTAATTTACTTAATTATGTCCTATATGAGATTTTATACAAATTTATATCTATAATAATAATAATCTACAAAAATTGCATATACGGTATCCTCATAATCAACAAAAGGATAATTTCCAATCATCTTTAAATTAAGGTTTGATTTTTATTTAAATATACACACATATATAGAAAAGTGGCTCGAGACCGTTCGGTAAGTCACGCCCTCTTGTTGGTACGAAAGACGTTTGGAGGTGAACTCGACCTTTGATTGAATCTATTACCGATAATAGCAACAATGAAGCAAGGTTAAACCGGGGACAAGGATGGAGAAGGTTTATGTAGAGAAGTGGGGTGCAACGGGGATTGAGCTGGAGATGGAAAATGTAATTTATGTCTTCGATTTCGATATCGTTTAGCTAGCGGAGAGAAATTGTTTTGTTAAAACAAAGATTCTCTATTTCATTCCGAACGGATTTCAAACCTATATTAAATAGTTTAAATCAACATTCAGTTGTATTAATTGTTATTATTTGTTTAGAAGTAATTGTAAAGGCAAAATATATAAATTTTTATGTTATTAATATTGCTTGTTGTTTACGCTATTTGCTGGTCGTGTCCATATTTTAAGTCCCAACAATGTCTTCATTGAACACAAACATTACAACAATGGCCATTCCAAGAACCTCTCTTGTTCTTTTCCTTGTGTCTATGTTTCTCCACTCAACATTCGCTGCTTCATCCTCATCGTACAACGTCGTTAGTTTTGGAGCCAAACCCAACAATCAATCCGACTCAACGCAAGCATTTCAAGCTGCATGGGCTAAAGCATGTGCCTCCACGAAATCAGCTTCAATTTATGTCCCGCGAGGAAGATATTACCTTCGTAGCGTAACATTTAATGGACCTTGCAAGAATAATGCTATCTCGATGCGTATTGATGGCAGCTTGGTAGCTCCCTCGGACTTTCGAGTTATTGGTAACTTAGTAGCTTGGATTATGTTTAGACATGTCGACGGAGTTACTATCTCGGGTGGGATTCTTGATGGTCAAGGAACTGGCTTATGGGCTTGTAAGAACTCGACAAAAGCTTGTCCAAATGGGGCCACGGTACGTGCAAATTTATATGAATTCTCTCATCATAATATATTGCTAATTGCTTCTTTTGAGTATTTGCTCGATCATTTGTGCAGACACTTGAATTCTCCAACTCAAAAAATATAGCGATTACTGGATTAACATCGCTCAATAGCCAAATGTTCCACGTAGTTGTTAATGATTGTCAAAATCTCAAAATCAAGGGACTTAAAATCATAGCTTCTGGCGATAGTCCCAACACTGATGGAATTCATGTAGAACAATCCTCTAATGTGACGATACTAAACTCTCACATAGGCACCGGGGATGATTGTATATCCATCGGTCCGGGAACTTCTGATATGTGGATTGAGAATATTGTTTGTAAGCCAGGTCATGGAATAAGGTACGTGTAATTATTGTACTATATAAATCATTTGAATATGAACCAGAGAAATGAAATTTTTTATACATTTTCGTTCGTTTGAATGGTTTTGAAGCATTGGAAGTCTCGGAAAGAACCTTGAAGAGGCTGGGGTCCAAAACATAACCGTGAAAAAGGCTTTATTTTCACACACTCAAAACGGGGTGAGAATCAAGACATGGGGCAAACCGAGCAATGGATTTGCTACTAACATTCTCTTCCAAAAGATTATAATGGACAATGTCAAGAATCCAATCATTATTGATCAAAATTATTGTCCAAACCACAAAGATTGCTCGACCCAGGTATGGACTTTTTATTAATTATCATGCACGTTCTCATTTTAGTACTTTACACGAGGAAAATAGCTAGAGATGTTCGTACGTTGAGTTAGGTTAAGTCGGGTCGGGTCAAGTTCATATATTTTTTTAGATTTATAAGTATTTGAACCCACCAAATAAGTTCATAATGCAACTCAAACCGTACGAATTGAACTGGGTTGATCGAGTTTTTTAACAGGTTTCTCATTCTTCATTTGAAACAGGCTTCTGGGGTTCAAATCAGCAACGTGACATACCAAGACATTCATGGAACATCGGCCACTCAAATTGCAGTCAAGTTCGATTGTAGTCCAACGAACCCATGTGTTCAAATAAGGTTGGAAGACATAAACCTTACTTCTAGGAAGAACCAAACAGCCCAAGCTGTATGTAGCCACGTAGAAGGGATTGCCACAGGTCTTGTCGAGCCCACTAGTTGCTTCTAAGGAAAGCATATGGAACAACTTGATGGATTTGTATTCATAGCCTTTGTCTTTGGCAACAAAATATTTATGTAATATTAAGATAATTTAACACTAAATAGGCATGGTAAATAGTTAATAATTGTTGTAAAAAGGTTTTATTTTATGCTTTTATTTATAAAATTCATTTTTTTTTATTGAATAGTTTAAATTCTCGAGATAAATAAAATATTAAAGCTATGAACAGTGCATATTGTTGATATAGACAGTAACTGGCAATCCTCTTAGATGTGTTGTCGATCCATTCATGTATCTTACCTATACTCAGGCATCACTTGGCCACCAGCTTCCGCCATGATTTATTCTCGAACTACATCATAATGAGAGAGGCTCTGCTTTGATACCATGCTTCGAGATTTTGACTAGGATTTATAATTCAAATTCGTCACCTGTGTTGTTTGCGAGAGTAAAGACTACCCCACGTCACTCACTTGCATAACTACGTGTCGCTCAAATATAAGAGAGATACATTGTTTTAACTCTGGATTATCATGCACCCAAAATTGGCATGAATGAAACTGGGTTCTTTTTTAATGTGGCATGAATTGCAATATCTAGTTTATATTGCATGATCGATGTCTTGGTTCATATCACACTTTTTCATAAACCTTGACCTACGTATATAGTTATAGTAATATTATAAAACACGTGATGAACAGCCAAAAAGTAAGTGTTAATCATACAACACAATAATTTGATCTATGTTACTCGTAGGCATGCCAACAATGAATCCAGCTCAATTTGGTAGGCATGCCAACAATGAATCCAGCTCAATTTGGTGCTCATAAGCTCAACTTAGCTAATCATTCCTACGTTCAGCTCAACTAGAATTGAATTTCGCTGTGATATTCCAACATTCAGAAAATGTAGTATAGAGACTATACATCGAGTCAACATAACTTAACTATCCTAAAATCAATACTGTATCGTACTAAATATTATTAGTTGTCCAAAATAGTAGTTATTACTGACCTTATGATTTGAATTACATTAGAAATGGTTTCGGGACGACTCAAAATGGTCAAAACAAGTCAAAAAAATCAATTAAAGTCAAACCAAGTCAAGGAAACGTAGTCAAGATTTATTCTGCACAACCTTACATCGACACAACTTTCTATCTAATCTTCTGCACAGCCTTATCGATAGCTTGGACCAACTCTGATCCTAACAGTTCAAATGTCCCGACCTCATTCCCAATATATGAGGGACTTACATTGTTTCTCATACAACGCCTCAAATAGTATCATGCCAATAGTAGCTTAAAAGTTATTGTTATAGACAAATTTCACGAGGGGTAAATTGAAATACCAATTGCCTGAGAAGTCCTACACACATGCACGATCTAGTGTTTGACTTAAAACGTTTTGTGGGTAAAACCCAGTTCTAAAATCTAACCAAGATTTCTGTTTTGACTATAAAAAAAAAAACATGTTTACACAATTCATATTCAGATGTATTGTACGATTATGATTTTGTGCATATATGTCTGACCCAATTAGATATATGGTTCATGAGATGCACATAATAATGACTTCTAGAAAAATCGTAGACTCAGGTAGCTACAAGTCCGAATATGAAGAGTATAAGATAAATTTTACTCACCAACTCATTAATTCAATGTCATAAAAACAAAAAAACATAAAAAAGAAACAAATTTATTCAATCTCTTAAAGCTTTGAGTAAATATGTATATTTAGCATCAAAGAACATCACCCTTCACCACCATGCAATATTAGTTGAACATATTAATTAATTAATCACTAATCAAATATCTTGAATGTTCATATCATCGCATCATCAAGCCAATTTTTTAGCCGCCGTCTTGCCGCCGTAGTTCTTAGCATGAAAATCAGAGAACAAAGCCAGCAGTGTCGAATAAAATGCAACATTGAAGCACCAGCCCCACACGCCAGCGCAGCCTGAGCCCTTATCAGTGGCATGAAAATAAAGCATCAAAGCCAACACTACAAAGCTGAACTGAAACTGCACGATTTGACACTCCGTCACGATCCTCTTCCATCTCGGGCGCACCCCGAGTGCACACGACAAGTAATACGTGTACATGAGCACGTGAACCGACGAGTTCGTGACGAGAACCAATGGGAACAAAGACTGCGACGAATGCAGCCATAGGTAACACATGATCACTACGGTGGCGTGGTGATAGACGTGAAGGAATGTCAAGCGTTTGATCGAGCCGCTGAGTATGATTAAGAATGTGTCGATGAACTCGACGATCTTCGAGAGGTAGAAGATATAGGCCCAGAAGAAGAGCGGCCCTCGTGATGGGGTGTTGGGTGGGAGGCAAAGAATGTAGTGAACGTGAGGGGCGTGGGAGAACGTTGCAAGTGTGCAGCCAAGGGCCATTGTGAAGGAGAGGGCGAGGAGGATGAGATTATGAACGACGGAGATTCGCTTGAGAATGTCCGAGCGGAGGTTGGGGACGGTGAGGTTGGAGAGAAGGAAGGTAAGCGAGAGGTACAAGAGGACGGTGATGGTGAGGAAAAGTGGGGATGAGCCTAGAGTTTGACCCCGAGACCACGAGAAGTTGAGGATATTCGGGTGATCGACCAACCAGTAATGGAGATCGTTGAAAATATTGAGACTCATTCTCGAATCACGCACACAACACAACAACACACAACAACAAAGAGGAATTGTTGTGATCTCTAGCTCTCTATTGTTTGAGAAAAAATTTGAGAGCAATGGGAAAGATTCAAGGGGTTTAAATTAGAGATGGGAAGGTGGGTTGTTGTGCTAGTTGTGTGTGAGCTTATGGGCTAGTCCTATTAGTAATAGCGGGAAAGATGTCGGTCTCAGTTTCTGTTGAGAATTGTTGGAAGAAAAATTCCGCTAATTAAGAGGTTAATCATGGGTTTATAAGTAAGAAATACATCTTCATTGGTACGGGACCTTTTGGGAAAACAAAAAGTAAAACCACGAGAGCTTATGCTCAAAGTGGGCAATATCATACCATTGAGAAGAGTCGTGATTCCTAACATAATATTAGAGTCATGCCCTTAATTTAGTCATGTCAATAGAATCCTCAAATGTGGAACAAATGGTGTACTTTATTCGACAGCTCTAGAGAAGGAGTCGAGTTTCGATTAAGGGGAGGTTGTTCGAGGGCTTCAAGTATCAAACAAAGAGTGTATTTTGTTCAAGGACTCGAGAAAATGAGTCAAGCCTCAATTAAGGGGAGGTTGTTTGAGGGTTCCATAGACCTTAAGGGAGATTCTATAGTGTACTTTTGTTCGAGAGGAGTCCCACATGGGTTTATAAGTAAGAAACACATCTCAATTACTACGAGACTCTTTTAGAAAACAAAAAATAAAGTCACGAGCGTTTATGATAAAAGTAGACAATATGATACTATTAAAGAGAGTCGTAGTTCCTAACCGTTCAAACCATTACATCTCTCCATATTTATTAAACAAACTATTCATTTTGGCTATTGACCATCCCCCTTCTCTAAATTCCCTGTCTGAATTGGGCGGCAGCATTATTTATAAGTCATGCACAACAAAAGAGAAGACATCACTGCAACAAAATGATATCTATCGAAAGTAGGGATAAGAGAGGATGGGTAGCAGCTGCCAGTGTGGTTGGGGAAGTGGTGCACTTTGATGGCTACAATTAATATGAAAGAGATAGCGCTTAGAGGGCGTAAGGGCTGCAATGCCAATATAGAATGCCCAAACTTTAATACCCTAATTATATCCATTCAATGTCATCTCTCAAATTGTCATTTTTCTTTGGCCTTAGATCTTTCTTTTTGGGATGTCTTTGTCGTTTGAGGTTTCTTGAACTCAATGTTCATGATTGTGGGTTACTCGGAAAAAGCGATATGGATATTGTTTACTCGTATTGAAGTTTTTTTAAAAAAAAATTAGATATCTGTGGAGATTCAGACGATCCATACGAGTGGAGCTGTAAATCTCTTTTTTAAATGGAGAAACGAAGGTAAAAGAAACCCATATAGAGTATGTCTTAGGATACATTAGTATTTAATGTAAAGCATGCCCGAGCCCAATCTATTTTAGAGTGTGAACCCTCGAAAACCCTATTTCTCTTCTATAAATGGGAAAGAAGGATATAATGTAAACCTTATTTATAGCACACTTCTCATAAAACCCAAGGTGAGTTAGACATTGAAGTACGTATGGCTAAGTGTCATGGTCATGCTTATCCAAGACGTGTTGTCCATGGCTGCATGCTCATTCCAAACTCTTTTACTTGCTTTCATGTTAGATAAGATCTTTACTATTTTTGTTGTGTCAATACTGGGTGTGTCAGTCACCAAAATCATGTCTACACTCGTTCGCGCTAAAATGCCCCTAAATGTATTGTACAATATGTGATTAGTCGTCAATTCTTACTACTTCGAGTAATGACTGAGATCAAAATTTAATACAAAATAATTAAAAAAATATATCAGTAATTATTTGAATAAATTTCGACAAAAATAGTCTATCGAACATGTGGAAATGGTTGCTAATAAACACAATATCGATAGTAGTAGAAATTAGTTGGTAATCGATGTATAAATGGTCTGTTATTTATAGAAATGATCTATCGTGATGGACCCAACAAATTGTTGTCGTGTTCGCAAATTCATTTGAAATATTTTTAAATACGACAACTAATTTTTTCACTTGTTATAACTATTATTTAATTTATTAGTTACGTTATCCTAAACTATCCGATGAAAAATAATTTCAAGTTAGCCATCATTTTCAAAACTAAATCAAATTTAATTTTTAAACACGAGAGTGTATGAGTTACTCAACAATCGAATCAATCAATTTAAATTCAAAATATAATTATACAAAAATAAAATTCAAATAAAATTATAATGAAATTACATGTTTTTGAAAGATTAGAGATATTTTTTATCCTGCAAACTCTGACAACCTTTTTTATGTCAAAGACTAGAAGAAACATCGTTTTTTTTTCGTTCTTTTTCTCTTTTGTTCGTGTACAACAATTTTTACCGTACAAGCTTCGACTGTGCCTGCCTCCATTTTTAGAGGAGCTGTCACGTACGGTTTTAAAGCCAAGCATTTCTAGTAATGGGACGGGTCGGATGTTGGCATTTCATTTTCTAAGGCTTCTAGCAAAAGTCACTTTCTACATATCTTAAGCTTCTCAATGCTGCATTCAAAGCCATACTCTTACAGTTGAACAACTTATCTTCTTCATCACTTTGAGTATATTCATTGAACCTTGCTCGAGAATTGATCGGAGGGTCTCTTGATAATAGCTATAGGAATGAATAAATTACAAGTTCGGTCTCTAAATTTTTAGATTTGAGTTTAATAGGTCTCTAAACTTTTAAAAAAAAATTGATAAATATCGAAACTTTCAATTTTGGGTGTAGTAGATGAACTTTAAAAAATGTTAAATAAGTTCCTGAATTTTCATTGTTATATTAAATCTCAGATATATTCATCCGTTCTTAAAAAAATATATCAAATAGGTTAAAGACGTATTAGACACAAAATTAAAAATTTATGATATTGTTAGAAGTAGAATTGAAAGTATAGAGATTTGTTATATAATTATAAAGTTTTAAAAACTATTGGTAAGCTACACGATCTATTAAATATTTTCATTTAAAGGTTCGAGGCTTATTTGACACAAATTTTTTAAAGTACAAGAAAAATAAACGAAGAGCTTCAAAAACCAAATATAAACTATTAATAAACAACTTTTGTCTTCGAAGAACGAAATTCATGGCGCGTTTGCTAGAGTGAATATCAATTTTTGAAGTCAATAGATACTACTAAATAATTAAAAGGAAGTGGACAATTGGCGACATCTTGTCGGTATAGGTGTTAACTTTCATTTCTTTTAAGCCTTTCTTAGTTCTAGACCATCAGGCTCCAAATTCAGATTCCGAATCTTGATCTAAATCCTGGGTATGGACGTTACAAATGGTATCAGAGGAGTGTCTCTCTCAGTGATGTGTTTCAAGAACAAACCAAAGCAAAAACGAATGGACATGTGACACCTAAATAAAAGAATAGTACATAAATGAACTGAAACAGCATCTGAATAAAAGTGATCCTAATGATGAAATGACTAAGAAAGACGATAAGATGTGGTTTGAGGACAAACCAAAGGGCATGTGACACTTGAGTTCAGTCAAAAATATTTTTAAAATTAATAATAAATTCATGCTGATTGAGTTCAAATAAGTTGATAATTCAATGTAAATTATACAATTGGGTTAAATTGTTACAACCCGACTCTAACATAGTTCAAGTGATCAAACATCTACCGTTCCTTTCATAAACCAGAAGTTCAAATCCGCTTTACCTTATGTGCTAGGTAACAGTTCTACAAAACGACTTCAACTATACAGAGCGAAGGGCGTTTTCAACGAGCAATAAAGGTCTATATTTTAAAGGTAGGAAATAAGTCCCAAAATATGTTGAACAATCAAAGTTGTTCCATTCCCCTAAACAAAAAGGAACTCACCCAATCCTAACTGAATCATAAAGTATCAATTAATATCAACTGTGCAAGAATTTAATTTTCCTTTTCTTTTTTTTTTCAGTATGTGTTTGTTAGTAGGTATTAATGATCCAATTTAACACGACCATTATTCATTCTAGGGAGCTTAGACCTCATGAATGTTCTATCTCTCTTCTTTTAAAACTTTCTTTCTAAAATCTCTCTCCCCCGTTTTCTAAAATCTTCTCTTGAAATCGAGACCCAAAGTTTATGTTCACGTTACCCGATCACAGGCAACGTAACTCGAAGTAGATTTGACCCACTCAGTGCTGAGAGTGGGTGCCACACAATCGCCAAATCCGCTACCTAGAAACCATGATTGTGACCATTTGTATTCTATTTTTCGGTTAAATTGTAAATTTAATCTCTACCAAAGGCAAAACCAAGAAAACTAGTTCATCATAATCGAAGTTTTATAAAATCAATTTGTATATGTAGTAAGAGTACATAATCAAGTATGAATGAATCGAAGGAAATAATTGTATGGTTCGTGATTCATTTTATAGTAAAGTATGAAAGGATTGTATGGTTCATGATTTATATATTGAATGATAAATATATACTATGCATTACATATTCATATAACGTCGATCATGTACAAAAACATCAAACTTCATATTCCTTATGGTCTAAACAAAGTTTAATAATTTCAAAGTATATAAGGGAGATAATATATCAGATCTATGATTTATTGGTCTTCTATTGATTCAACTTGCGATGTAAATGGTGATATCAAAATCTTGGACGGAATGGTAACTCGAAACTCATTCCTCCTTATATGACTGAGAAATAATGGTGAAAACACGACCAATAGACATACCTTGCTTATTCTGACCTTTTGTTTTGTTCATTCATATATAAACACGTATTGCTAATATGCATATATACGACACCTAATTAGACCTCAAATGAAATAGGGTCAAATTAGACTAACTCAATAATTGTCCCCCAAGTAAGTCATCGAGGACGATAACGAATTTAAGTGGGGGAGAATGTTATAACAATACTATGAAAAGGGTAGGTTGTGACCCTCTCACGTCACGTCGAGCTTTCTATGATCAAAAACACAAAATTAGGGTGACTGCAATTTGAATTATAGAGCACAAACAAAAACCAACAACCAATTCGTTCATTACTATTAAAGATATACCCCAATTTCTTGGATTTGGTCGGAAATAGAGACAATCGAAGGTCGTTCCTAAATTATGAACCCTAGATTTGTGGGTATAACCTGAATTCATGACTTAAAGAATAGTCGTCTAACCCTGCTACATTTTAAAGAACGGATAGGCCGAAGGGATTATCCCTCTAGCAGCTTTGAATGCAAAACAAGTGGACAACACAAGTGAAATACTTCGAATGCAAAATAAGAGCCTTCAACGGTTTTGAGATAGAAGAAGAGCTCTATGTTGTTAACCCCTTGCATCTTAGCCATTCAATGGTTAGAGGCGTATCATCTCAAAGTTCCTACGAACCGTGGTGTGGTGTTGATAATCATGATCAGTCCTAGAGTTCAAGAACGGGGTGTGACACTTTTAAATTCTACACACAATCATCAACATGGGAGTTCTCAATCTAGCATAGCTAAACGATTAAAAGAATAAAAGGTCGAATCGTTGAACAAAAAAGAAAGAAAGATATCATCTTCGTTAGAGATCAAATCATGCCACAAAAGCTTCTCTAGTAAACTCAGTTGTCATAACTTCCTTTAGGGATTCTCTCTAAATTTAAGTAAGATGCATCGTTTAAACCTAATATGGTCTTTCCTTACATTAAGTTACGAGCTAAGTGTCAAAAATTAAAGGTGAGATCCCACATCGGTTAGGGAGGAGAATGAAACATTCTCTATAAAGAGTGTGGAAACCTCTCTCTAGTAGACGCACTTTAAAAACTTTGAGAGAAAGCCCGAAAAGGAAAGCCTAAAGAAGACAATATCTGTTAGTGGTGGGCTTAGCAAACAAGATAAACTCCTTGGCATAAACCTTCCAAAGTTACCAACACAAACAAGGCTAAACTCCTTGGCATAGCAGACTAGACCTTCCAAAGTTACCAAGTAATTTGACAAATCACACCACTGCATCACCTCGCCCCGCCCCGCCCCGCCCCAAAAACAAAAAACAAAAAAACAAGCAAGAACTGAATTTCTAAATCAGGCATATCAGGGGAGATTCCTGTTTCCAAAATCAAACATACTCCACAATCGATTATCTAACAATAAAACCTACCCTCCTAACTTCAATCATCAATGTTATCTTGGAAAGGATCACATAAGTGCAATTTGAGATATCAATAATGATACTCTTTTGCTCTGCAAGTTGATTACAGAAAGTTCTTAGCATCTACCAGCATAGCATAGCTCTAGTGTACTTCACTTTTATTTTAAGCATAGAATTGGAACATAATCATATAACTTATGGCAACAAGTCAGTGTAGTTAAAACTAACATTGTTTGGACATGATATCCATTGAAGAATGTCAAATCAAAGATTTGAAATTTCTCTATAGTCGCTACAGCAGTACAGAGCCTAGCTAGGATTTCACAAAAGAAAAGAAACAAAATGCAAAGTTCAGAACAATGAGTTATCATCCATAATTGTAAGGATTTTATTCTAAAATAAACAGAAAAACTACAGCAATCATATGGTTTTGGTCTCCATTCTCTTCTTTCTATTGGCAGCATAACTTTTCAAATGGAAATTGATGAAAAGAGCCAAAAGAGAGGCATTGAAAACAGCATTAAAGCACCAACCCCGAATGCCAGAGCAACCGCCACCAGATCCTCCAAAATGCTCATATAACATTTGACCAGAAATCACAAAACTAAAGATAAACTGTAAGATTTGGCAATCAGTGACCAACCTCTTCCATCTGGGTCGAATCCCAAAGGTGCATAGGAAGTAGTACCCATACATTATCACGTGCACTACCGCATTGGTCAAGAGAGCTATGGGGAACAGTGATTGGGAAGTGTGAAGCCAGAGATAACACATGATCAAAACCGTCGAATGGTGGTAAACATGGAGAAACGTGAGGCGTTGAAACGACCCAGTAAGGATAATCAAGAGGGTGTCGACGAATTCAAGAATCTTGGATAGGTAGAAGACATAAGCCCAGAAGAAGAGAGGTCCAACTGGTGGGGTGCGAGGTGGGAAGCAGATAAGCCAGTGGAGATGAGGCACATGGTAAATGGAAGAAAGGGCGCATCCAAGGGCCATTATGAAGGAGAGACTGAGAAGAACAAAGTTGTGTAGGGCTGAGATTGGCTTGAGAAAGTGAGGGGAAATGGAAGGGAGGGGAATGTGGGAGAGGAGCAAGGTGAGGAATAGGTAAGAAAAAACAGTGAGGATTAGGAACAGAGGCGTGGAGCCGAATGTTTGACCTTGGATCCATTCGAAATCGAGGATAATAGGATGATTCACAAGCCAATATCGAAGATCTGGGAGAATTTGATTCATGTTGTTCTTGTAGAGACGAAAAGGAGTGATTCACAAGTGATAAACTATCGGATTTTGAAGCGATAACGCATCGATAGAGACTTGTTCTTCGTTGATTTATAAGAAAACGAAAATGGAAAGTGCCATCATAAGAAACAAATCTTCAAATAATTGTTTAGTTAAGCAAGAAATTACCTAACTGGAAAATAAACTAACATTTAGGTCCTGAAACATAGAAAATTGTCCAAGAACTCCAAGATTATGCCCGGGGAAAGGCGATGGAGCTCGAATGTAGTTCAATGGAGAAAAATGAAAGGCATTAATGGAGCTAACGAAAGTAGAACAATGTACCTGGAACCCTAGAAATCGAAGAAAGGCGAAATCCGGTGGAGATCGAGGTCTCGATGTCTATAAATGAAAAATCACCGTCCGCCAGTATGTGGATGAGATTGTAAACAGAGGAGAGAGCTCGAGGAAGAAGACGACAATGGAGATGAAAGAACAAAATAAAAAAATTAGGAAATAAAAATAACAAGCTAATATAAATATTTATAAAATTTTTAATAGATAAAAAAAATTATTATTAAAACCTTTTAAATAATACTCTTACGCCTTTTAAAAACTCTAATAAATATAAGGATGATAAAAGTATTTTATTTCAAAAATATTTTTAAATTTTTAATAGTGTGTGAGAAATATTATTAAATTTTAAAAAAAATTATAAATTTTTCAATTTTTACAAATATAAAATATCGTTTATGATTTAAAAAATATCTATCAAATTTAAAAAATAATATTAACATCTTATATCTTTATAAAAAAAATTTAAAAATAATTTTACCATTAATATATGAACGAAATTATTTTTTAACCAGACTTTTTTTTTAATTCACGCATATTTTTTAAATAAATTATTAATAATTTTCATGCCGTAAATAAGAGTATTTTCTTTATAAAAAAAATGGAAACATATTATTGAAATTTCATTTTTAAAACTTTACCCCAAATACAAAATTGAAGAATATTTATTAATTTAATAAAAATTAATAATAATAATATAAAGTAGGGTTAATTTATTATCACTTATTTTTGAAAGAGGACATGTATGGTCAATTTTTTAAATTAATTATTGTAGTAATTATTTATGTATATAATTTTATTAAATTAATTAAAATTTAATTGATTAAAATTATTTTAATAATTTCACCTGTAACAATGAAATACCTAAAAACAACAATTAAATTATTCGTTAAGAAATTGCAAAACTAAACAAAAAATATTATTTATCTCTACGAAATTTTGATAGTATTTTCGTGTAATATCAATACCAAATACAATTATTTTTTTATTCACACAAATTTTATTTTTAAATATTTTATTCTCAAATATTTCTAATCAAAAGACCTATAAAAGTCATGGCTTGCATTATCATCGCCACGGTGGTCAACCATTCTGGCTTGACTAACGGTCGAATTCGTGATCTTGAATCCATTGTGGTCAATCTCTTGGGCTTACTTGATCTTGAACAAATTGTTTTTTTTTTTATCGAGTTATCTTGCAGCTAAAATAGTCAATCAACCTTAAAATCTTTGTGGTCGATCTCGACCAACAAATGTTTGTTAGTCTCGAAGAATGTGTTAATCAGCTTCCATTTGAATTATGTTCGTTTAGGTTTTGGTTCTTTCTTTTCCATATTCCTGCTCGTTCTTTAAATAAAGTATACAGATCTTTCATATAAAATTTTATGTTTCTCCAAATAAAAGGTAATGTACAGTGAGATCTCACATTGGTTGGAAAGGAGAACGAAACACCCTTCATAAGGGTGAGGAAACCTCTCTCTAGCCGGGTTTTGAAAACCTCGAGGGGAAGCCCAAAGGGTCATGTCCAAAGAAAACAATACCGGTTAGCGGTGGGCTTAGACCATTACATGTATCGTGTAAGAACCAATTGTGTGCGTTAAGTAGAATATGTTGTTTAATGTGTGCTAACTCGATGTCGTGAACTCACACTAGTTGGCTTGGACTTCGAGGAACAAATTCAGTCCAGCACCAAGAATAAATAAGCGACTTCGACTTAAGCTAATCAAGTAAGTGACCTTACTATTGACTTGATTGAATGAAATATGAATGACACGTACTCTATGACCCTCCATATGCCGTATTTTATGATTGTTTGGACTTATGTTATGATATGACTATGTGATGATGCGTTATGACTTATGGTATGATATGTCATGCGTCATACCCTCACTAAGAAGACAAGTAGGTTGTAACCTCCACACGTTGACGGACAAGGTGGCAACTCTCAAGTAGCGCCTATTTAGCAACGTGAGGGCCAAGACAAATAAGTATCATGATGCGATCGAGGAGGACGGTGCATCATCCAACACAGCAAGAAAAGTGTGTATTAAAGTCAAGTTGTGACATAAGCAACACTCGAGAGAAAGCGATATGAGCGTCTAAGACAAGCTTAGAAGGGGTCAAGTAGAGTCCCGAGCTAGTTGAGATTTTGAAATTTAAAGTCGAAGAGTATTTTTATTATTTAGTTTTTTTTTTTTTTTTTTTTAATTCCTCCCTTGAATAAAATTTAAAAATAATTAAAACGCAGTAACAAACTAAGGAGGCCAAGAAAGGAACGTATCATGTACGTCCGTCCCACATCGGTCAAGTTCTGAAAGAGCGCAGAACATCTCAATATAAAAATAGCCATTAGACCCATCGTTCAGTTCATACCTTTCTCGGCCTTTTGGCTAAGATCAAGTGTAGTATCTGTTCTTATCAGTTTAATATCTGATACGTGGGCCATCGGCCCACATGATATTAAATTAATTTTTCATGGGGGAAGGCCCACCAAAGTAGCTTGCTACTTGGGCCTTCGAGCGTCGCCTTTGCCTTGCACTATTGCATGGGCCTGGCGCACCCCACTGAGCCCAGTTCAACAAATGTTTTTCTTAATTTTTTTTTATTTGAAAATTTAATAAATTATTTAAGAGAAAAAAAAGAGTGTAAAATTAGAAGGAATTTTATTTATTCATAAATTTAGCTATTTGAATATTTAAAGCTAAAAAAAATAAAAATAAAAATAGAAATGAATTCTCAAATTACGGAGGGGAATCAAAGGGTTGGTGTAGAAGAAATTTATTCTTAGCACGTTTCAAAACAAAACAAAAAGAGAAAGTTCGAGGACAAACTTCTCCTCAAGGATGGTCGATTTAGGATAGATCCAATCTATATCCAATTTTCTATTCACTCGTGGGATCTGCGCGGTTTGGGGGACCACCCCGGCTCCTCTCTTCTCGAGAATCTATACCCCTTATCAGTATATGGACAGATATCTCTTGAGCATAGGTTTAGGTTCGGCCTCAATGGGAAAATAAAATGGAAACGCATCATCACAGACCAACAATATTTGCTAGTGGTGCACTTGAGCCCTTGCAAGTGGTATAAGAGCTAGACACCTGAAACTTCTTCTTAGCGCATTTTCAAAACTTTGCTCAAAAGAGAGAGTCCAAAAAGGACAAACTTCTCTTACCATACGCGTTTTAAAATTTTTGAGAGAAACCCCAAAGAGAATAATATTTGCTAGTGGTGGGCTTGAGACGTTACAAGTGGTATAAGAGCCAGACATCGGGTGATATGCCAGCAGGAGGCTGAGCCTCGAAGGGGGTGGTCAAGAGACGGTGTGCCAACAAGGATACTGGGGCGCAAAAGGGATGGATTGGGGGTCCCACGTCAATGGAAGAATGAGTGGTGAATTGTGAGATTTTACCTCGATCCGAGAGGATAAGGAAGTATTAGTGTAGAAACTTATCTCTAGCAAATGCGTTTTAAAAACTTGAGGAGAAGCCGAAAGGAAAAACACAAAGAGGATCATATTTATTAGTAGTAAACTTAGGATACCCGACCAAAAAATATATTCTAACCATTTGAATTTTGGTAAAAAATAAAAATAATAATCGATTTTTTTATTTTAAATTTTGAGTTGAATTATTTTTGCACTGGACCAAATTAGATGGGTTATGTAACAACGCCATTTTACCAAATTCCCTAATTTGCCTCTCAATCCAATGGAGGCTCTAAACCTCTACAATGGACGATCGAAGAACATCATCGATTAACTCCGCCAGGTCTCTTCCCATCCACACTCCCAAATGGGCCTTCACGTTCTCATATCCCCTCCTTTCTCTTCCTCCACATCCATAATCTTCAAACCCACTTCTTCCGCCTCGCTTCTCTTCAAATTTGGCTATGCTTTATCCAAATCTCCTTCCTCCACCACAACCTATCTCCGACCTTCTTCACTCAAATATGTTGCTTCTCCTCCAACTTCAATTCCGCTTTCTGGGTATTTCTCTCGGAGAACTCGTAGGTTTCATGGTGGGTTCATTGCAGCTACTGCGGCACCTGGGTCTGTCCAAAAATCCGAGGAATTGAGGCCTTCCGTTTCGCCTGACCAATCTTGGGTCCAGAGACAAAATGGGATTGAGTAAGACTCTCAACTTCCTTGCAGATGTTTGCTTGTGTTTCTTACTTTTCTCTTGCAATTGGAAAGTGATATGGATATGTGTGTGTGTGTGTGTTTGTATGGAAGGCTTAGAGGTTTTGTGTCAAAGCATTATGTTGGTACAGGATGAAATTTGGAGTTGGATGAGCTACTCGAGTGCAATTGAAGGGTCGGATCATTATTTTCAGTGTCTATTATTTCTAAGTTTTTAAGGTGTTACCATGTTACTATATAACTTGTGGCTTGAATTTCATGTACAAATTTAGACTTCTTAGGTACTAAGTTGTGAGATCCCACCTCGGTTGGGGAGGAGAGTGAAGTATTTTTTATAAGGGTGTGGAAACCTCCCTTTAGCAGACGTGTTTTAGAAACCTTGAGGGGAAGCTCAAAAGAGAAAGCCCAAAGAGTGGACTGTTACAAATGGTATCAGAGCTAGACATCGGGCGATGTGCCAGCGAGGAGCTAAGCCTCAAAGGGGGGGTGGGACACAAGGCGGTGTGTCAGCAAGGACGCTGGGTCCCGAAGGGGGATGGATTGGGAGTCCCACAACAGTTGGAGAAAGGAATGAATGTCAGCGAGGACGTTAGGCTCTGAAGGGGGGTGGATTGTGAGATCCCACATCGGTTGGGGAGGAGAACGAAGCATTCTTTATAAGGGTGTGGAAACCTCCCTCTAGCAGACATGTTTTAAAAACCTTAAGGGGAAGCCTGAAAGAGAAAGTCCAAAGAGGACAATATCTGCTAGCGGTGGGCTTGGACGGTTACAAATGGTATCAGACATTGGGCGATGTGCCAGCGAGGAGCTAAGCCTCGAAGGGGGGTGGGACACAAGGCGGTGTGTCAGCAAGGCCGCTGGGACCCGAAGGGGGAGTGGATTGAGGGTCCCACAACAGTTGGAGAAGGGAATGAGTGCCAACGAGGACGTTAGGCTCCGAAGGGGGTTGGATTGTGAGATCCCACATCGGTTGGGGAGGAGAACGAAGCGTTCTTTATAAGGAT